CAGTCTTCGAGAGTCTTCAAGCTTTATTTCCGACCCGGACAATTTTAGGGGTCTACAGGGGCGCTTCATGCTGGCAAGCTTGGACAGGAGGTCGGCTCTTGCGTTTTGCTCGCGGGGTACATGGTGGATTGTGAACTCTTCAAAGGAGGAGATCTGTTGGGAGGCTACATGGAAATACCTATGTAGTAAGGTGTTCTTGGTCTGATATGCCCCGTTGAGCTGCTCCACCATGAGCTTTGAGTCGCTGTTGCAACTCATTCTCCGCGCTCTGAGGTCGTGAGCCAACCTTAGCCCTGCAAGAAGCACCTCATACTCTACTTGGTTGTTGGTCACTTTGAAGCCAAACTTCAGAGATTGCTCTAAGGTGACCTTATTTGGCCCTTCCAAGATAATACCTGCACCACCACCCTTAGAGTTGGAGGAACCATCAATATGTAAAGTCTATAGCTGTTGTTCATCGGGCGAGGTTGGCGTCAGTTCAACCATAAAGTCTGCCAGGCACTGAGCTTTCAGGGGGCCGCGACTTTCATATTTGATGCTAAACTCGGATAGTTCTACTACCATGCTATCATTTATCCGACGAGCTCCGGCTTTCTCAGGATTTGCTTGATTGGGTAGTCAATTTTGATGACCACCTGGTGGCTTTGAAAATAAGGTCGGAGGTGCCGAGCTGCGGTGATAAGTGCTAGTGTGAGCTTCTCAATCATCTGATACCATTTTTTCGTGTCTTGGAGAACTCGGCTGATGAAGTAGATCGACGTCTACACTTTCTGGTGCTCTCGTACTATGATTGCGCTGATTGAGCCTTTTGCCACGGCTAAGTAGAGGAGGAGGTCGGTGTGGTGATCCGGCCTCTAGAGGACTGGCAGAGTCATGAGGAATACTTTGAAGTTCTTGAAAGCCTTTTCGCACTAGTCCGTCCACTCGAAGTTCTTCGGCTTTCGCAGCAAGGTGAAGATGGGCCCTGCCTTCTTTGCCAACCTGGGGATAAAACGTGAAAGAGAAAAAAACCTTCCTACCAGGCGTTAGACGTCTTTCATAGTCTGGGGGCTCTGCATCTGGATGATGGCTTTGCATTTCTCTGGGTTGGCCTCAATGCCCCTGCTGGTGATTATGAAGCCAAGGAATTTACCTCCCTGGACACCGAAGACACACTTCTCTTGGTTGAGGTGCATGTTGTGTTTTCTGATCTGATTGAACACCTCGACCAGGTCTATAGCATGACCTTCAGCAGAAGTGGTTTTGACCACCATGTCGTCAACGTAGACCTCCAAATTCCGCCCAATCTGTTGGTGAAAAACCTTATCCATCAGTCGTTGGTAAGTGGCCCTGCATTTTTGAGACCGAATGGCATCACTTGGTAGCAAAAATTGGCGTGGTCAGTGATGAACGACGTGCGCACCTTGTTTGTTGGGTACATCATGATCTAGTTGTACCCAGAGTAAGCAGCTAGAAAGCTGAGGAGGGTGTGCCCGGATGCTCCATCGACCAGCCTGTCGATGCTCGGTAAGGGGTACGAGTCTTTGGGCATGCTTTGTTCATGTCAGTGTAGTCGACGCACATACGCCACTTCCCCGAGCTCTTCTTCATCAGTACCACGTTTGCCAGTCACGTGGTGTATCTGACTTCGCGGATGAAGCTTGCGTTCAGTAGCTTTTGTGTCTCAACGATGATGGCTTCTCGTCTCTCATCACCAACCTTCCGTTTCCTCTGGACCACTAGTTTTGCCTCCTTGTGGATTGCTAACCTATGACAGATGAAATTAGCGTCTATACCTAGCATATCGGCGCTTGACCATGCAAAGAGGTCGACGTTCTTGGAGATTTCGGCTTCAAGTTGCTGTCGTAATTCTGGGTTTAGTTGCCTGCTTATTTTTGTGCACTATCCAGGGAATTGGCCGACCTGAGGATTATCAAGCTCGTCAATGGGACTCGACCGTTCATCGAGAGATTCCGACCTCGGATCCAGGTCACTGATGTCAATCTGGGTGATATGAGCCACTATAGGAGGGTCACTTTTGCGGCGCTCCTCGGATGGTGAGACCTTCAAACTTTCGGCGTAGCATTGCCGAGCTGTCTTCTGGTTTGCTCTGACAGAAATGATCTTGCCACCACTTCCTGGGAATTTCATCGTGAGGTGTGGGGTAGATACCATTTCTCCGAGTTGGTTCAACGTCGGTCTTTTGATGATTATATTATAGGATGTGTTGGCCTCGACGAGGAGGTAGCGGACCATGATCCTCCTTGAGTCAGGAGAAGTTCTGAAGGTTGTCAGCAGATCCACATACCCTCGAGTGTGAACTCGCTCTCCTGCAAAACCGACTAGGGGTTCTGTGTGAGGTTGGATGAGGGAGTGAGAGATGTCTAACCTGAGGAACGTCGGCCAGTATAGGATGTCAGCTGAGCTGCCTTGGTCGATCAGCATCTTGTGGACATCCCAGTTAGTGACCTCCACAGCGATGACCATCGGGTCATCTTGATTTGGACAGACACCAGTGTAGTCGTCGTTGGTGAAGGTGATTGGTGGTGAGCTTTGGTGCGAGGCTGAGGTAGTGGAGTGGACATTGTTGATGCTGCGCGGGTGTCTTTTTCTCGCCGAGCTGCTAGAGCCTCCCCGTGTGAAACCACCTGTAATTGTGTTGATAACTCCCTGCAAGGGAGCTGACCCTATTTCTTGACTTACCTCGGCCTGCACCGCACCACCAGCATTTTGTTGGGATCCGGAGGGTTGGTCTGTGCGAGTGCCTGAACCGTGACCTCGCCCTCGTCCTTGTCCGTTGTAGCCTCCTCGGTGACCTTGCTACCGCTAGACATATTGCCCAAGGTGTCCTGCCTGGACGAGTTCCTCTATACGATCTCTGAGTGTGCGGCATTCATTCCTCGATGGTGTGACCATGGTTTCTGTGGTACTGACAGTGCTTTGATTTGTCTGCATTATTGGGACTATGCTTGGGTGGTGGTAGAGTGAGCAAGTTGTTGTTGCTGGCTTCCTCCAAGATGTGCACTCGGGGCACACTCAGGGGGGTGTAAAAATCGTATCTCCCTCCTTTGTTTTCCCTAGCAGCGCTCCATGAACATGGCGTGTAGGGCGACCTCGGGGCACACTCATGAGCATGGCGTGTAGGGCGACCTCGGGGTTCAGGTTCTGAATCTTGACCGAGATGCTGGCGAAGCGCTCCATGAACGCCCTTAGTGATTCGTCGTCGCCCTGTCTGAGGCTGGCCAAGGCGGCTGATGTGACGTGGTGAGGTCGACTAGTGGCATACTGAGCCGTGAATCGCCTTACCAGAGTGTCGAAAATGTCAATCGACTCCACTGGTAGTTGAGTGTACCAGTTGAGCGCCTACACAGAATAACATCTTCATTAGTGTATAGGTTTACCTATGTGATATATAGATCGACGTGCTCGTCGGGGTCCGTCGTGCCATCGTAGAGGTTGATGTTGAGAGGCTTCCATCCAAAAGGGAGGGGCGTCTCCATACTGCCATCGACAAAGGGGTGGCGGCGGATGCTTGTCCTATGCCCCGGGTCTTGGGCGGGCGCATTGCTGACTTCATGGGCCGACCTATTCATTGGTGCGTGTGACCGATGTGTGCCAGGCTTAGGGGTCGGTGCCCTAGGTGTAGTCGGTGGTTGAGAAACCGAGTGCCCCTCTTCCTCGTGTTGGTTACTCGATTGAGGGGGTTGATCAGAAGGGCGTCGAGGGAGTTGGGCGCGAATACGCACATTCTCGGGGCGCAGTGCTGCTAGGTTAGTTTCATTCGCGGCACGCAACGCTGCGAGGTCAGTTTCGTGCTTGGCACGAATGCTCTGCAGGTCGATGGCGTGTTGCTGCCGCATCTGTTCGACCTGTTCGATTAGTCTTCTTAATGCTACTTCGCTGTCCATTCTAGTTGTGGGATCTAGGTCGTCTGCTGCTTTTCTACTATGGCTTCGGGTGAAAATCATAAGCGTGGCCAATAAGAGTTGTCTTGATCAGTCCCACGGTGGGTGCCAAATGTTCTTACCGGAGATCGTTCGTAGGGATGATCTGCTAGGTAAGATCGGTGAACCTCCTTCACTGGGTATGCTTGTTGTTCCAAGGTGGGGGCGGTACCTGCAAAAGAGACTCCAATGCTAAAGTTAGTGTTTGTGGAAGTATGAGTTTCGTATAAGTAATGCACGTACCTTAGCGTGAATTAGGGTTCATCTAGGCTTTGGGCCCGAGATTAGTTGTGACCTAATTGGATAGTGGGCCGATATCGCCTAACGCGTGTCCGAGGTCACTCCGCGCTGTGTTGCCGAGCTCGGAACTCGGCATAGAGGTACGGATAGTACAATAATAAAATGACATTTATTTTCTTCCATAAATTGTAAGAAGTTAAAAATTATCTAGAAATACAATCATTATTTGGTGTTCCTATTAAGAAAAATTTACTATTACAAAATATTATATTGTTGCTAATATATATATATATATATATGTGAATTTTATGTATTTTTACAATTACAATTATGTAAATATTAATATTTTTAATATATTTTATACATTATTGTAACTTAAAAAGAAAAACTAAATTATAGTATTATCGAAAACAATAAAGACAAATAAAAAAATAATAACAAATATTTATAATTTAAAAATATTACACTATAGTTAATATACGCCTCATCAATAATAATAATAAAAATAATATAAAAAATGTAAAATCATTTATATCAATAGATAAATTAGATTAAAAGTTAATCATTTATACAATGTAAATTTTTACTGATAACTAATTATATTTTTTAAATTATTTTATTTTAAGATAAAATAGATATGGAGGTGTCTTGTGCCGCTGATCAAGGATAAAAGGTGCAGTCCGGCTTCATTGAATTTATAATTCCAAAAGGTACTGTACAGGTATTACTATGCTAATCTACACCGTCAAATTTTTAACACTTAAATCTAGGGGCCATGAAAAGTCTCCCACAGTGGGAGATGTTATCCGTTTACCCACGCTAGACTGCGTCTATCAATTGGCATAAACCTAATCAGAAACGGGGGGCATTGGAAAACGTTGGAAAGAATTATAATATAATGCATCAGAATATAACATGTAAGAATAACACACACACACTGTATTCTCTTTTCTCTCTGTGTTTGTGTTACTGCAAGTAAATGGCAAGAGCAGCTTGCAATCACCTTCACTTGGTTCCCAGTTTATTTCATCCTTTGAAGTCACCCCTCTTCACAAATCACACCCTTTCCACCTCACGCACTTGCTTATATGGGATTCAGCGAAGGTTCTCTGCTTCTTCATCAAAAATAAGCATGAGCCTCAGGGCTGGTATCGTAGGCCTTCCCAACGTTGGCAAGTCCACTCTCTTCAATGCCGTCGTAAGTCACTTTCTCTCTGTGTGTGTCGGTGTGCGTGGTTATTCATTATTCATTGAATTGGATATTTGGGTGTTTAAATGTTGTTCATAAACTCATGTGGGTGTAAATATTCCTTGATGGGTATGTGTTTGAGAATGGTCGTGGTCACCATTTCGTCTTGACATTGTGAGAAATTGCAGACAAATGCGAGTACAATACGGTACGTGGTAGCAGACTGTTATTTAAAACCTTGTAATACGAGTTAAGTTGTTTCATCGAACACCTTTAGGAACTGAATGTCTCTTTTTTGGGTTACAAGATTCTACGAGTTTTGGGAGCATGGAATCTAGTAATGGACAAACTAAGCATCTGGTACTGCAATACTGTTAAAACCATTAAGGAGGAAGAACCATTTTTTGGGAAAGAAAGCTAGAATGATTGATTAATGTGGATGAGGAGTGCTCTATGTCTAAGAATTCTGAGGTTTCCTTGGTATTTGGAGATCCATGCTTATTTGTGTAAACATTAGACTACATTTACTTGGTATAAACATCGAAACATCAATTCTCTGCTCCTGAATATTTGATGGTGAAGATGTGCTTAACTGTAGCGATTAAGAATAGAAATAGATGTATACATGTTTGAATTCCTTTCTAATTGTCCAAAGATTTGTAGAGTGCCCAAGTAATCTATGTTAAGGATATATATATATTTTTTTGACAATACAAACAAAATAATGTATGGTTTACTGTTCTCAGTGTGGAACAGCTTTTTGTGTAAATGCTTGGTAGATGCCCCGGAAGCTTGAAAACAAGAACATTGAAGTTGAATATAAGTGCAAAGTTTCCAATGTCTTCCTTTTCTATTTCCAAATAGGCTTTCTTACTTGTGATGGAGTGACTTGTATTTCCAAACTTAAGCGTACCATAAAGCTAAATACGTGTTATGAGTTTCAAAATTTACATTTTTTGGAATGATGACTTGGATTTATTGTTTTAGTTTTAGGTAATGGATAGTCTACTCTAGAATCAATTCTTAAATTTCCTTTATGAAATAGCATGGACAAATGTGAACTTTGAAGGCTAATTTTCAAAAATTCAATGTCATTATTATATTAGCATTAATTTTGCAGCAACTTTATATGCCTCTAACTCACAAGGTTTTGCCTAGGGGGTTTTGGGTAGTTTGCACAAGGTTCTAACCTTGTTGCTTCCATTGTACACAAAAATAATTGCGTAGGCCTCTGTAATCAACTGACCAGCAAAATGTTGCGAGGACTTTTTCATTTGGTTTGTTTAATTTCTGTTCAATGTTATGGATGATTGTTCTATTGATGTTGTATGTGTGGCTCCAGTTCCCAATGCTGTAATAATGTATCAAATATTAATATAATGGTCTTGTATCTCTAGGTGGAAAATGGAAAGGCTCAAGCTGCTAATTTTCCATTTTGTACAATAGAGCCAAATGTAGGGATTGTTGCTGTTCCAGATTCTCGTCTCCATGTGCTATCAGATCTCAGCAAATCTCAACGAGCAGTTCCAGCATCAATAGAATTTGTAGATATTGCTGGGCTTGTCAAGGGTGCAAGTCAAGGCGAGGTTCTTTTTATTTCTCTTCTCTTTGTTTCTGTTCTCAACAAACTTGTTTATGTTATTTTTAATAACTTCTCATATGTTGTGGTAGTAAGTAAGTTAGCATACGCATTGCATTCATCTCATTCTTGCTTCAACTGTTGCAGGGGTTGGGTAATAAGTTTTTGTCACATATTCGTGAGGTGGACTCCATACTTCAGGTGTTTTTCTATCGTCATTTCTTTTTCATCATTATCTTACACCATTACGTCTAATCTATTTGTTCTGTCTTCCCCTTTTTTATGAATCATTTTAGTATATATGTACATCTTGCCAATCAAAACTTTTGGAAACACCTGGATGTGCTAAAGATACAGGGTAGTTTTTATTTTTCTGACTTAAAATTGACATGGATCTATTAATTATCAATATCAAATTAGGTTGTACGGTGTTTTGAAGACAATGACATTGTTCACGTGAACGGGAAAGTTGACCCCAAGTCTGATATTGACGTTATCAATTTGGAGCTTGTTTTCTCAGATTTGGACCAGGTCAGCTTACTGACTATCATTCTAAACCAATTTACTTCTTATGTTTCCTTGAATGTTATTACTACTGTAAATTGTGTTCATGGCACATTTGACTTCAATCACATTTACCACGATTTATTAATTTGTTCGGATGAAATTATAATATTTTCCTTCCTATTTGTTGTGATCAGTGCTTCTGGATTTTAGGTCTATCTGTGCATGCACAAACACTTTTTATGGATTTATATGACAAAATTGACTGATAAGCTAAGATATTTCATTTTTTTAAGCAATGCAGATTGATAAAAGAATGGATAAACTAAAGAAAGGCAAGGCAAGGGATTCACAATCTAAACTCAAGGTTATAGTCTTTAAATGCTACCACATGTCATCGGCTCTTGTGTTTATTAGTTGAAATACATTATTCAACTTGATTTTTGAAATTCTTCATTTTAGGAAGAGGCAGAAAAGACTGCATTGGAAAAGATTCAGGAGGCGCTTATGGATGGAAAACCTGCCCGATCGGTGATCTTAACAGATTTTGAAAGGGATGCTGTGAAGCATCTCTGCTTGCTCACCATGAAACCTGTTATATATGTGGCAAATGTTGCAGAATCTGATGTAGCTGATCCTGCAAACAATAATTATGTCAAGGATGTTACGAATGTTGCATCTGAGTTGCAGTCTGGAATTGTAACAATTTCAGCACAGGTGTACATTTAGAAAGGCTTTTGAGTTCAGTATACTGTTAGATAATTAATGATGTTACCATAATTCGTTACTCTTAGTTAATATAGTTATCCTAGCCCCTTTATTTTTAAATGGTTGTTCAGTTGTTTAAGCTTCTTGAGCAAGCTCTCTTGTTTTGATAAAAATATCAAGTACTGGCAGGTCACCCTTGCCTCTTCAAAAGTTTCTCCTTTCCCTTTTAGTTTCACATGGTATCTAGAGTTGGCATGGACAGGTAGGTGGAGGAAGGCATCTACACCCATTGTATTTGGTGATTATTGAACTCATGATTGTCATTGTTGTAATTAGAGGAAAATCTTCCTAATTAGAGAAAATATCTGTAGAATCTTCTAGTTTATTTTTCAGAATATTTTTTCCTTATTTCCTTATTTTGGAAGATTAGATTGTTACAAATAGGTGTTAGGAAAATGTAATACAATTTAATTGATAATAATAAAAATTATTCTCCTTTTCAAGTGTCATTCTCATTAAGTGTTAGTGACCTGAGCATTCATGCAACTGTTCCAGTCTCCATGTTCTTCATCATTCCTGTGGATTTAACCTCAAGTAGTCTTAGAAAGGTTTTGATTGGTAAGGATCCAGAAGATTTCCACTAGATGTGCTTCTATTTCTAGAGGGAATTTGTTAGAATCCAATTGCAAGGTATAGAAATTGAGCCCCACATTGGAAGCATGAGATTTTGGTGTTGCATTTATAAGGCCTTGTCTTGGAATGTCTGTCAAATATATTTTAGGAAGTTTTAGATATTATTCCTACCGTATTTTAATTCTGTATATTTGCTGTATCTTGCTATTATTACTACAATAACAATCCCACAATTACAGGGATTTGTTCCCTAGATTAGGCTGTCCTTATTTCCTAAAATAGGCAACAAACTCATGTATATATATATTTGATGTTTCTCATGATTAAAATAATGAGATTATTTCTTCTAAATTTGAGATGGTACCAGAGCTCCTGATCCTTGGGAGCCTCTGACTGTGATCTGATTGTAGCCTTCATTGCTGCACAACCCAAGAATTCCATCGCAGCTATCATTGTTGCGCAACCCTAGAATTCCATCGCAGCCTTCATTTCTGCACAACCCTAGAATTCCATCCCAGCCTTCATTGTTGTTATTATCAGAAGTGGAAGAAATCATTCTTCTTCTTATTATCGGCCTGTGCCAGATTCGGAACGACCCGTTCTGGGCCAATCCTTATGTGTAAATTTTGCACCCTGGAACGGCCCGTTCTGAAAACAGAACGGCCCATTCTAGAGTGAAAATTAACACAGGGTTGCCCTTTCCAAAATGACCCGTTCCAAATTTGACTTGTTTGGAACGGCCCGTTCTGGTATTGGAACGCCTCGTTCCAGCCTAGCACTTTTAGGTGTTTTAGTCATGTTGGAACGGTTTGTTATGATATTGAAATTTCCCGTCCCGGGGTTCGGAACGACCTGTTTCGATTTTGGAATAGCCCCGTTTCGAGCTACTAAAACTACCTTATTTGGCCTTTAAGCCTTATGATATCCTGTCTTGTTGTTTGCTTGCTTCAGAAGCTCCTTCCCTTCATAACGGAGGTCCATTTCCTTGTTTGTGTGCCCCTGGAAGAAATTGGGTGTCTACACACATGTGCAGCCACCTTTGGCACAAAACATGTGACTCAAATGAAACTCTAATTACTCCTAAATGTAATTAACATTCTATGATTCATGCTTAATACTTATTCCTTCTAAATTCCTATTCTATTGGCCCAAATACAATGGCCAAACAAATACAATGGAAAGGAAAAATTACAAGAATGAAAATGAGCCCAATATTGGGTACCAAAAGCCCAAAGGCCCATGAAGCCCAAAACTAGGCCCAATAAGCCTATA